GAACCAGATAACCGCGTTTATCGCGAATATATCGGGGTGCACCTTCAGCATTTCAGGCCAGGCATTCGCGTTCACCGAGGTGCGCGTAATGTGCGTAGGTGTAGCCACATTGGTTGAGGGTTGGGGACTCACCGATACCGGTGATTGATAACGTTATCGATCACCGTGTCGGGACGTTCGACGGACACTAGCTTCGGCAAGACGCTCCTCCCTCCGGGTGAGACGTGAAGACGCACGTCGAGACGGCGGAGGGCAGCTCAAGCTGGGGTAGAGGAAGCTTGCTGGTGGTGGTGGTGGTATAAAAGACGTCCGTGGCAAAAACTGTGAAGCGCTCTGTAGAATTTTCAATAAGGCGAGGTCGGAAGAAGAAGATTAATGCAACGCCGCTGGGGGACCTTAGGAGACGACAGCGACATGACTGTCAAAAGAACATCCCCGGAGGCAGAGTCCATTCGCTCTCTCGCGCGCGCAACCCTCCCTTTCCTTCTGTCTTCTGCTTTCTTTCCTCCCTCCTTCGCCTTTGTCCTCTCCGCGACCGGCCTTGTTCACCGATAATCGCGCGCAGGTGCGCCTGTCTTCGGGCGACCGAGTGAAATAATTTCGTCGGGAAAAATCCTGTCGCTCCCGGGCCGATCTCGACGACCCGATCGGGGCTTCGTGACCTCTTACGCGAGTCTCGATGCCCGAGTCAATCAACGGCAAGCAACCCCTAACCTCCGGGGTGGAATCTCTGAGACAAACTGCGCTGTCTGGCCGCCGGCGCGGTTCGATCAATCACGAACCGGCCGTCTACGGTGTATTAAGCTGACGTTGCGTATTCATATACGCACGCATGTAATATGTATGAATGTACGTATCCATGTATATAGGCTCGGATGTATATACGTAACGTGCCGGGGATTGTTTAACGTGCAACGAGCGAGTGGAATGCTCGACGATGCGGGAGAAAAAGTCGACCGATATGTACTCCCGGGTGAAATCGCGCTGAAAAAAAAGAGGCAGATATCGGGGAAAAGGCGATTACGCTACGAGGGGCGAGTCTTTCTTATGTCGAGTGACCTGGAGTGGAAGAGCTCGGCACGAATCCGCGATTTAAGTGTCGCGTTTCGAATATAAAAGATTTAAAATTTGTAAATTCGATTATTTGTCTTTATTTATTTTTTTTTTTTTTTTTGGTTTTACAGAGTTGATATTTATTACATTGCTTCCATTTATATTTAAATTAAAAAATTTAGTATCGATTTTATGTAGAAGAATTTTACGTGAATCGTGATATTAGGGTTATCATATGTTATTTCGAATATTAAAAATAAAAGATTTAAAAATTATAAATTATATTTTTATTTATTTATTGTATTTATTATTTTAAAATTCTTAATATTTTTTTCTCTCTTTAGTTTTACAGAATTGATATTTATGTCGCTTCATTTATAATTTATATATATAATACATATAAATAAAAATATGTTCTCCCAGATTTGAATGTAATTGGTTAAAGATCGGCTTAGATTTTAAGTAAAAAAGCTTTATATGATCAAAAATAAAAGATTTTAAAATTGTATATAAATTTGATCAATGGTGTTTTAAATTGCATTATTTAACTTCTTTTGGTTTTACAGAATTTAATATTTATATCGCTTCCATTTAAATACATTTATATAAATAAAAAAGCAACTAAATAAAAGATTTTGTAAAATTGTAAGCACGATTAGTTGTATATTTTAAGTTTTATTATTTTATTCTTTACAAAAAATTGATATTTATATCTCATCTGTTCATAAATAAAAACAAAATAAAAATAATATGCTATCGAATATGAATGATTAACTAAATCTGATCAGTCAAATAATATTTAATAACACATTACGATCTTCTGAATAAAAACAAATGTATTAAAATATTTAAAATATCAATTTAACGAGCATTTTACAAAGCAAAGCGAAATGACAATAAATAATAATCTACAATACAAATAGCAAAGATAAAAAATTCCTCAATATTCCCGACAATCTCAAACAATACCTATGCTTTTAAAAATGTTTAATGCACGCTCTCTTTCACTTGATAAGTCGATTATTCGTGCGAAAAAAAGCAGTGTAAAATCGAAGCATAGAAAATATCTAGCAAATTCTTCTTAGCTTTTCCTCTAAAGCACTTCCGACCGATAAAATGTCATCTCAGTTGTCCGCATTTAATGAAAATTTATATGCCGATCTCTCTCTCTCTCTCTATATATATATATATATATATATAAATATATATATATACATATATCGTACAGATCACATACGCGAGAGCACAATTGCAGCGGCAAATCTTGATTTAATGCGCTGCGCATTTTAATGTAATATATGTACATTTCATTTTCCCGAGAAGAGAGAGAGAGAGAGAGAGAAACAGCTCTCGAGCGAATTACGTCAAAATGCCCCGGCCAAAGACTCCGTATATAACATTTGGGAGGGAGAGAAATTGCATCCGCTCTCTTAAGCCTTCATCATAATTTCTCGTCGTCGTCCCGTCTATTAATACATGTATATACAAGAGATGCGCGGAATCATTAGATCGGCCGCGAAAAGCTTGAGGGCCGCTTCCGTCGAATTTTCTGCGAGGCAGAGACAACGAGATTTTAATATTGGATGCGTTGCAGCCCTGCCGATCTCACGTGCGTTAAATTCCGCGCGAAGAGAGAACGCGGTTTCCCGTCGATAAACCTGTACCGCCTAAGCAGATCTCTCGTTCTTCTCGCCGCTGGACCCGCAGCATCCGACGGATGGTAGGAATGTATCGAGTGAATCTCTGATCCCGAGTGCCAACTGCAGGTCGAGTTACAAGGAGGAGATTTTTTTTCGATCGGCAGAGTATATCCGATATTCGAGCGGATTATGTTCCTAATTTTGCGCGCCAGATACTTGTTATTTATATCATTTATTAATGATACGCGCAAGTTTTTTTTCGTAATTAATTGTCCGCAGAAGAAACAAGTTACTCGCGAAATGGAGAAAATCCCAAGGAGGACAGAAATGTCAAATTGATGTCAAAATATCGTTCATTTTAGGTCGTCATCAAAATGATATCAAGTTGCATAAAATTTTGATATTATCTTGATGTTCACAATGAAAAATTATTATTTTGTATTAAAAATAATTGAGATGCAAATTTAAGACGTAAGCCGCTTAAAATAATATTTTAATCAACAATTTCGTTTTTAATACAATAACTCAGCTCTTCTGCGAATTGCAATAATATCTGAATATGAAAAATCTTAATTTTTAATTGTCTTCATAATAATAACCGTTGTATATACACAGTCGAGAAACATACCTCACATTTTCTAAAAATTATAAAGGTCAAGAAAAAAGTCAATATAAAAAGTAATTTTTTAGTCATCTTCGAGATCGAGATTTCCATGATCAAAAAATGACATAAATTTAGTCAATATGACGTCAAATTGACATTTTGACTGTTCTGTTCTCTTTTGGATGTTTCCAAAACAGGTTTTAGGTTTGATAAAAAATATAATATTGATAATTGACAATAAGAAAAAAGGAGAATATGGTCAATTAATATAATTCATATAATATAATATATAATTTATCAATAAAATATAATTTATAATATGTAATATAATCTATAAAATCTAAAATATTAATATAATACAATCTATAATCTATAAAATATAATTAACTAATAAAGGAGAAAAGGAGAAAAAGGCGGAAAGCAAACATATAAAAATAAATATTGACAACTTACATGTCAAAAAATGTAAAAAATATATTACTAAAAAACATGCAAATAATATAATTTTAAAATTATACATTTCTAAATAATCTATTTTTTTAATAGAATTTTTGTAACATTTAATTATTTTCATAAAAAATATTGCATATATACATGGATAGTATCAAATTTTTCGATGGAGTATATTTTTGTGAAACCCGGACGACGTTAAAAGTGATATATATATCTTGAAATTATATTTATTGCGAATGCAATATTCTAGTAAAGATAAATGGCTGCAAATCAATCTACATCGACCTATTACTAATATTTTTAATTACGATGTAGCAGCAATATTTTTTTATTACGAAATATATATTTATTATATGACGAACTAAAAAACAGGATGTCGCACTATAGTTATATTTTATATAAAAAAATTAATATATATACACATATGAAACAATGAAGTATTAATAAACATATATATAGATACATCAGCGAAACACGATTAAAAAATAATTATTAAATTAAGTATTATCTATAAATTCTATTAATTATTCATGAAAAATATTTTAACTAAAATTAGTAATAAAACAGAAAAATGAAACTGATTGTATGATTTTATGTGACTACAGAGTAATAGAATATTAAAAAGAGGGGTGCAGGATTTAATAAATTATATCTTTTTTTGTATTCTTTTTAATTGTATATATATTTTTTTCCACACAGAATATAATATAAGCACAAAGTGCACACTCAATTATGCATTAAAGGGATTCTAAATGTCGAAAAATTGTTTTTTTCCTGTTTTATCGACAAAATGTGAGGTTAGATAAACTATAAATCTATTTATTGGCGATACGGATTGTTTTTACCTGAAATTAGAGCGCTTTGCCCTTTGTTACCATTAATACTTTAAACAATAATAAGAATATTAGATCGGCTCTTTTAATTAATTAATACTTTAATATTAATACTTTAATTTGTACAGCAAAAAGATTTATCAATTTGTATAGTCTCATATATCTCGATTACAGAATTATGAATTCTAAGCAGCAAGACGATACAGATTGATGAATCTTTTCCCTCTATTACAAATTAAAGTATTAATATTAACAAAGAGCGAAGCGCTTTAATTTCAAGTAAAAAACAATCCGTACAGTCAATAAATAGATTGATAGTTTATCTAACCTCACATTTTGTCGATAAAACAGGGAAAAAAAACAACAGACTTCTCAAGCACGTTTAGAATCCCCTTAAAAATTCTTATATTTCTCCAATGTCATTAATATCTCAAAAATTCTACAACCTTACCTCACATCCTTACGGTTATAAATTAAATTCAGCAACACCGATAATGTACTCACTGATCTACCCAGCTGATCCTCCGCCCCAGTTACGCGGAAGTCAAAACCGGAGGACAGTAATGATGCCTTTCCCTCTCCGCCGCGCGACGTTCGGCGCACTCCTTCAGAAGAACCTTAAACGGGTGCGGCGTGATGTTTTCGGAAGCCTTGAGTAACTCCTCCGTGAGCCGTTGATACTCATCAGCCCGTCTCGTAGCCTCCTCCCGATGGTATCTCCGGTCCTCTTCGGACTCGCGGAGTTTCGTCTCCTGGACAGACCTGTGCTGCTCCTGGAGCTCCAATCCGTAACAAAGCGCCCTTTGTCGATTTTCCTCCTTCTCCGTCGCCATCAAGTTGGCGTCCATCTGGACCCGCTTTTTCACGGCTTCTCTTTCCTCCACTTTTAATCGCCGGTCTTCTTCCTCCGCCTCCCGTTTCACCCTCAGCTGCTCCTCTCGACCCCGAAGAACCTCTTGGGCGACTCGCTGACGAGCTTCCTTGAATCTCTTCATCGCAAGCTCGCGTCGTGCCTGGATGTCCTCGTGCGATTGCTCGATGATGACCTCAACCTCTAGGTTCCGTCTCGCTTCTTCTTGCCGCAGGTCCTCCAGGTACCCCAGATAAGCCAGCAGTTCCGCCCGAAGGGCCGCCGTGTGTTTCGCTTCGTCTCCGCCTTCTCCCTGGCCAGGTCCTCCTCCACTAGTCTCCTGAAGCCGCGGTCCACCGCGGCTTCCTCGCGGGCGCGCTCGACGAGCAACCTCTTCGCCGTCAGGATCTGCTCCTCCAGGTCCCTCTTCAGTATCTCCCGCTTCTGTCTCTCCGCTTCGAGGTTCCGCAGTTCCGCCTGACGCACCTCGTCCCATAATCGCTCCAGTTGCTCCCGTTCATCCTGCAGGACCCGCTTCTTTTCCTCTTCCACCAGGACTAATCGGTCCTCCAGTTGCCTACTGAGAGCTAGCGACGTTTCCCGCTTGGCCAAGGCTCGTCTCTCGGACTCCTTCGTCTCCTCGCGCTTCTTCGCCTCGAGCTCCCTCAGCATCAGCTGATGCCACAACTGGTCCAGGTCCCTCTCGGCTGACCTCTTCGCCTCGTTGTCCGCTATTTGCGTCACGTTGCACCGCTTCGCATCGATCGCGCGTCTCCTTGACAGTTCGAGCTTGACGTCCGGACACGTGGCCAGGTACTGCTGCATCCGTTTGGCGGCAACCGTCGCCTCGCGAGCCTCCTCCCGCTGTTTCCACAGCTCCTGCGTTCTCGCGCGCATCCCTTCGAGCCGCGAGTCCTCGGCCTTTCTCGTCTCTTCCGCGAGTTCCTTCGAATAACGCGTCTCCTCGCTCCACACGAGATCGCGCAGCTTCTCCCGACGCCTTTCCAAGTTCTCCTCGTACGCAGACATGTCTGAGGATTAGGAGATTTAAGGGGATGCTGACTGTTTTATCGACAAATTTTCATTCTTATTTATTTATCAATTATTTCAATGTTTTATTTTTATTTAACTCTTTCTATTTCGAGATAATCTTTTTATTGTAAATATTAATATTTAATAGCCCTTGATACAAAAGGTATATTTAATTAAATTTATTTTTTTATACTTAATTACTTTAAAAAGGGACACACGCGTTTTTTTCTGAAATATTTTTGCTCTCTAAATATATGCAGCTATGAAAAAATATTGAGAAATTTTATCTGATTCTACTGTCTCTTCTTTTATTAATTATATAATATAGAAATTTTAATTAATTATAAATTTTATTTATTAAATTATTATAATTGATCTGTTAGAGAAATTTAAAAAAATTTTATTAATTTTTTACGTAACAGAAAAGATTTTCTTTCGTTAACGGCCAAATCACGTTCTAAAGTACCGGTTCTCGTCTGATCACCGCAGTCAAGAAACGTTGAGCACGATTAGTACTGAGATGGGAGACCGCTTGGGAACACCGTGTGTTGTTGACAAATTCTTTTTGAAATTTTCTGACTTTACATGCCTTTTTTTAGAAAGGGATTTACTTAAATTCTATCCTTTAAATATAACTTTATTTACTTATAAATATATTATTTTTAAATAAAAAAATTAACCTTACATTTTTAATTTAATTTTTTTATTAAAATTTTAATAATATCCATCTAATTATTATCGATCTTTTGTATTAGATCAATTTAACTTAACTGGTAAAAAAACTGTAATTATTTAACTTTCTTGGTTTTTATATACATATATAGTATAGTCCAGGTTTGTTATTATAAATACTAAAATTCTAGTAAATAATTTTTCATTCTGCATAGTTAATAAATAGTTAATAAATAACATTTGTCAATAAACAGTTTGCTGTTATCTAAATAAAATTATATAGATGATTATCTAGATGAAATTTTGATGTCATCTTATCTTTATGTAGATAATAAAAATATATATTTTATCTATATCTGCATCTTAGATTTAAAAAAATGTTATCTTTACTAAATTATCCAGAATTATATTCAAATAATTTACATGGTTTACAGTCATAATAAATAAAAGTACTGAAGGAGTAGAACTTAAGCAGTAAGCGATAAAAATTTACAAATAAAAGTATGAATATATTTTTATATCCTTTTTATAATTTACATTTGTTTACAACTATGTTTACATAAGGAATTTTAAAAATATAATTATCTGGAATAAGTTATCTAGATAAATCGCTATATAATTTTATCTTTTATCTAGATATATTTAAATTCAAAATCATTTTCATCTTATCTAAGATAAATTTACACATTTTCGTTTTATCTTTATCTAGATAATTTTAAAATCATCTGAGCACAGCAGACACAGTCAGCATTCTCTGAATGATTGCTAATTAGCCTCATTTAACGGCAAATTACGTTTGTATGCCGGGTCCAAGTAGGCGTTGATACAGATTTATGTGAAATTAAGTGATAAGTAAATACATATCTGTCTGGATAAAGTGTGTAATCTTATTTAAAAAATTCCTTTTAATGTCTATGTTTGATATTAATTTTGCAAAATTAAATATACATATATCTCAATCACAATTATGTACAATTACAATATATCCAAACTAAAGAAAAGATGAGAAGAAAGTTAATGCGTGATGCAGCTGTCCAAATAAAATATATAATATCTTATTCTTTTCAAATTTTTTTAACTTCTATGTTTGATATTAATTTTGCAAAATTAAATATATCTACATAAATGTCAATTATGTGATTATGTACAATTACAATTTATCAAAATTAATGGAAAAGTAAACAAAGTAATAAATAAATGCAGGATAAACTATGTAATTTTTTCTTTTAAAACATTTATATGTTTAATATTTATTATAATTTTGTTTGATATTTATTATAAATTAAACACATATATCTCAATTACGATTATGTATAATTAATATCTGTCAAAATTAAAAGAAAAATAAGATGGAAACTAAGTATAATAAATAAGTATAGCTGCTTCGATAAAGTACACATTATAATATTTTTCCATTTTTTTTAATATTTGTATGATTGATATTAATTTTGTGAAATTAAACGTTACATTATATCTCAATCACGATCATATAAAATTAATATCTGTCAAAATTGAAAGAAAAGAGGAAAAAAATTAAGCGATAAATAAGTACAGTTGTCTGCATAAAGTGTAATTTTATTTTATCTTTAATTGTTGAACGTCTGTTTGATATATTTGATATTAATATTGCAAAATTAAAAACACATATATCTCAATCACGATTCTGTATAATTACAATTTGTCAAAATTGAAGACTGGAAGAAGATTAAGTATGATAAATAAGTACAGTTGGCTAAAGTATGTAATCTTATCATTTAAAATAAATTCTTTTTGAACATCTGTATATCTGATATTAATTTTGCAAAATTAAATGCACATATATCTCAATCGCGATTATATACAGTTGCAATTTGTCAAAATTGAAAGAAAAATAAGAAGAATTAAAATAAAGTGATAATTAAGTGATAAGTATCCGAATAGACGAATGATCTATTTTTTCAATTCTCTTTGAATATCTAAACATCTGATATGTTCATTTCGCAATATTATATACATATATATTTTAACCACGATTGTGTACAATTAATATCTGTCATTATCTGTTAATATCTGTAATTAAAAACTAAATTGTTGATTAAAATATTATTTTAAGCGGCTTATGTCTTAAATTTGCATCTCAATTATTTTTAATACAAAATAATTATTTTTTATTTTATTATTTTTTGTTTTATTATTTTTTATTCATTGTGAACATCAAGATAACATCAACATTTTATGCAATTTGATGTCATTTTGACGAACTAAAATGATCATCTTTTGACCATATTTTGACGTGAATTTAACATCATTTTGACACTTCTTGGGCTTGTGATGGCTACAAAAATTGCAAATATAGAAGGAATATGAAGAGTGAACAAATGAAGAAAATTGATTTATCTGTTTTGCCTATCTTTTATGTACAAGTAAGTAGCAAAAGAAATGATCAGTACCTTGTTGGACTCGTCGGCGAAGGTTCTTGTTCCTGATCTTCCGATCGGTCTCCTTCTCGAATTCCAGCGTCTTAAGGAACTGCTCATATTCCCTCTTGTCCACCTCTTCCGAGCCCTCGAAGATAGATTTACCATGGTACTTCGCGACCTGGCAATTTTCGCGTTCGCGTAACTTGTGCCCGTAAGATATATTTGCCGTACCGGGAACGTCAACGGGATACTTTCTCGTTTTCGGTGAACCGCACCGTACTTTAGGTAACGGAACCAGACTCATCTTTCGAGTTAATCGTAAAAAAACCGGAGGAAAAAAGACCCGAAAGGGGCCAGAGGTCGACGAGATACCTCCTTTCCGAACAGTGTATTATACAACGGATCCGATAGGATGCCTGTTGTTGCCTTCTTCTCGCTTGTTTGCGATGGAGGTTGCTATGACGATGCGCTCTCTCATCGAATTATTAACTTCGAGAATGGAAGAAAATGGGAAATGAAGAAAGAAATGGGAAGTGCAAAATTTATTCCACTAACCAACACATTTTGCTCTCCTTTTGAATAAACACTGGAAAAAATATATAACAAAATAACAAAAAATTAAGAAATAAAAAACATTAATAGATTTAGTTATAAAATCCTCCAGCAAACACAGTATATAAATGTTATATATTGTACTTGAGCATGTTACATGTAACGTATATGTTAGTTGTAATTTCCCACTCATAGATCCCAGCAAACACCGATATATAATTGTTACATTGCTATAATAAAACGGAATATAACATTGTTATATTGTCATTATATCCCAAGATAGCACTGACTTATCAATACATCAATGTGCTATTTGGTATAATTACAATATAACTACAATGTAATATATGTTATATTAAAATGTTACATCTGTGAGTGAGAAATTACAACTAACATGGATGTTACATGTAACGTACACGTTATATTACCTGTTATATTCCGTTTTATTATAGCAATGTAACAATTATATATCGGTGTTTGCTGGGTCTCTCCTATTTGAAAAAAGGCATGTGACGCTTTAATTATTGCCGTTTTTCCGCGATGCCGATTGGTTCTTTCAATGCGCTCAGTTCATGTCTTGAGCAGCTGTCACTTGTGTTAATTTGCGGTTATTTGCAAATTGACAGTTCGCATGAAAAGAAGTCTAAAAATTATTTAAGATTTAATTTATTTAAGAAGTCTAAAAATTATTTGCACAGGAAGTCTCGCGATATATGTGCGATAGAAAAATTAAAATAATATTAACGGTGCGCGCGAAGCGCGCGCTTGTGTTGTTAGTTGTGTAAAAAATCGATTAAAAAACTCGTAAAATATGTAAAAAATAGTATTTTGTGAACAAAATAGTTAATAAAACTTGAATATAATTTTTTGAAAAAAAATGTTTATTTAAAGTGTAAAAAAGTGGTAATTTTGAAGAACAAAACAGAGCACAGAACAGAGAAATAAAAAAAATTGGAAAAACCACCAATTTCGCGTTAAAGTTGAAACTTCAAGCTTCAAAATGCGTTTTTAATTTTTCTCTCCGTTTTTTCTCTCCGGTTCAGCGGTTTGAAAATAATATTTAGGATAGAAAAAATGTTTCCTATCGTTTTTTAGTAGTGTAAATAATAATCCAATATTGTATATATGTGCATACGTGTTGACGTGATTTTCAAATTTTGTCGCGAATTAGAATATTTGGGGATTTCGATCGGACTATATATATGGATTATCGCGATATAGCTTTAGAATTTTGGTAAACGCGTTTCCAAAGTTACTTGCATTAGTGGAAACCTATATAGTTCGAAATAATGCGCCCGCGGCGATGCATGCAATGTAATATCCGTACCGGAATGATCGAATATTCAATATTCCCAAATTAGATAGGATATCTAATATGATGACGGAGGGAAATCGGTTACTATATAAATAGCGTGCACGTTATTAGATATGACTGATTAAAGCAAGATTGCAAATTCGAGAGAGAGAGCGAAGGCATTCATATATTATTATTAACGGCTCCCGTTATCTATAATTAAAATTTCCTTTTGTTTTTTCTCGACGCGACGTACATTGAGGCACACAAATTTTACGCGTACATCGAGTATAAATTCTATCTCAATGGCATTTATCGAGAATTTTATGATCTGCCATATAATGGCAGACTCATTTAAAAAAATGTAAAGAATTATAGTATATTATGGGGAAATAAAGGGTAAACATTCTCTCTCTTTCTCTTCAATTATATATTATATATAGGTATTGTGTATTATAACAATTCTCTTTTAATTGTAATATGTATATAAATTCTCTTTGTTACATTTTTTTTTTTTTTCACATATATGCATGTGCCAAATCTCAGAATTGCAACGCAGTATATTTCGTATGTTTGTAATTACATCTAATTATTTGCGTAATCGCATGAAACGGTAGAATGAAAACTCGAAATGCGCTTTACTCGCGCAGGAATGTGTAATACATTATATATCCGATACAATATTGATAATCCATAACGTTACTTACCATACAGAATTATCTCTTACGACTGTCATATTATATATATATATAATAATCGCACAATTGAGAGAAAGGGGGCAATAGACGGAAAATTATTTATAATATAATTAAACAGAAAAATGAGATTTGTGAACGCACGCACACTGTTAAATGCAACAAATATTCGACAAGATTTTTTTGATAGACTTGAAATTTATCATATATAATAATACGCTGGGATAAACTAATATTATGTAAATGTGATTATAGGTCTAGTTTTTTCTTCGCTATATCAAATATATATAGGTGCGAATATAATCAAATTTGTTCTCTCTGATCGCTCTATCATCACAAATTCTAATATTGCATCATAATAAAATAATTTCTTTTTATAACTTTGCATTATATTTTACGAATTTTGTGATACAGCTTACGTTTGTTAACACAATTTCGCTGCCTTTCTTATTTATTCGATCAAGAGATGTGAGTATGTTTGCATATGTGTATACATATTTATTTTTATATAAATAATATTTTTTAATTATACAAAAAGCATCTTCTCTCGTAGCATAAAATTCGTAATAAATCGTATGTAATAAAAAATTGGGAGAGTTATAATAAACAAGAGCGCGTTCTATCTATTATATGAAAAAGAATGTAAAAGATTACTTAATTCTAAACCATGAAAAATACCTGTTTATCTCTGCGGATAAATAATTAATATATATAACGTAAAGCAAAATACATATTATAAGTCACTGAAAGATAAAACATTTGAGCTCTCTGCATACTTAAGTGCATGGATAGAGACGTCCGAAGAAACGTGACACACAAGAACCGTCATAAAAAAAAAGCTGAGCATTTCGCAAATCATTCAATTTTAATATTCTTCAGTCGAATCGACACCTAACTATGTATTTACTCAAACCCGAAAACTAAATACATACGCGTCTATAGCGTTTAATACTCCTGGATCCTTGTCGCGGTCATCTTAGATTATGACGTCAGAGACGCTGAAAATTCTTAGATGCCGTTTCTAAGTAAAAAGATATTTCGATGAGAATGATACGAATTTTTAGCGTGTTTCTCGCCTCTGACGTCACAATTTCAACATCAGTGGGGAGCCAGGAGCCTTAAACTGTCAAAATACGAGCGTCAACAACGAGCTGTCACAGAGATCGAATTGTCCTCCTCCTCTGTATCTCTTTCTTCAGAGGGAGAGAAGACAAGAACGCAATTAGTGGGAATAATACTAAGGGACGAAGAAAAGAATACTAAGGCGTCGAGCTGCTCCCGGTGCTGGTTGACGTGATCCCCGTCGACGGCGGAGCGGAAGCTGTCATTGTCGGTGGCGCGTAAGGACTTCCGCAGAGCTGGTCGGCTATGCGTCCCCCTTCACGAAGGCCGCTGAGAAATGCGCCGTGCACCGTGGCCGGATAATTCCGTATAGTGTGCTCCCCTGAAAATGTAGGTGTAGGTACACAACATCAACGCATGCACACATGCACAGAAATGTCACGCGTCGACACAGCTGTCACGAAAGCGACATTTATCTCGTATCATTCGATCGTCGCATTGAGTCTGGGTGGCATTGTCGAATTTAAAATTTATGTATCCGTTAAATAATGCCGCTGAAATATTCCTCCTGATCGACGGCTTTTTCGGAACTCCCGAACTCCGCAACGAGCGTCAATTCAATCTGCTTACGCGATGACCGATATATATATTTCGCGAATTGTGGCATCTTCAAACAGAAATTACACGTACCCATCCATGCATTGGAAACGCGAATATCGAGGCAAATTGCATCGTGCACATCAATCGGAACGTCCTGGAAGCGCTCATACATTTTACGCAGGGATGCAAATAAGGAACTTTAAAGTGAACGTAAATAAATATATATATATATATACAGAGTGTCCCATAGGAAATTGCTGAAACTAATCAGTTGTCATTTTTTAATGGAGGTAAATAAAATGTTTATATACTAGTTTATTTTATTGAAAAAAAGTAATGAAAAAGGTACTAATAATAACATATGTAAGCTAATGATAAATATTTTCAAGTGCACACCATTTAAATTGGTACAAAATTATTTTTTAATGTTATTGACGATCCTTTTAATAGCTGCTATTAAATCTGGCACTGTTGAAAATATTTATCATTAGTTTATGTAATTTTATGTAATTATTAGCACTTTTTTCATTATCTTTTATGAATAAAATAAACTAGTATACAAACATTTTATTTATATCCATTAAGGGGATTCTGAACGCCTGTGAGAAGTCTGTTGTTTTTTCCTGTTTTATCGACAAAATGTGAGGTTAAATAAACTATAAATCTATTTATTGGCTATACGAATTGTTTTTTACCTGAAATTAGACCAGACCGGATTTGACATTGGATAAAGGAATATAAGTGAATGTTTAGATATCAATTTGGAAGCCTAGTAAACGAGAATAATTCATCCTACATTTTCATGTGTGCACGAAAATGTAGAATGAGTTATTCCCGTTTACTAGGCTTCCAAATTGATATCTAAATATTCACTTATATTCCTTTATCTAATACCAAATCCGGCCTGGTCTTATTTTATATGTATAAACTGCCAATAAAAGGAATAACCAATTTATACTTTATCTAACCTCGCATTTTATCGATAAAACAGGAAAAAACAACAAACTTCTCAAGAACGTTTAGAATCCCCTTAAAACTGCAGACTTTCCTCTTTCCAACACAATTTTTGTTTTCTCAATAACTGTATACATTAAAAAATGACAGCTGATTAATTTCAGCAATTTCCTATGGGATTCCACTCTGTATATATGTTTATGTATATTCGTCAATGTGGAAAAGTCGATGAGGTGTAACACGAAGCAATGCTGAACGTTTTGTCGAGTATCGAACGGATCTGATATTTACCAGCGAAGAATACTCTTGGTTGCGGTGGGGGTTGATTGATCATGTGCGGAGGTGAAACAGGGGCTGCCAGGAGATCGTAATCGCTGCCGGAACTTCCGACTGCGACGAAGCTGTAGGATCCACGGGCCCAAGGATCCGCTCGCCACCTAGTCACCACGCTTTCCCGCGGTTGCGGTACCACTTGGTTACCAAAAATGCCCTGCGACAACACAAAAAAATCCCCTTCGTGTTACTTCTTTCCAAAATAAAAAGGACCAGCTAAATTGAAAAAAAAAAACACAATTCTTATAAAAATGAATAAATCACTTAAATAAAAATGAATAAATAATTTTATATAAAGATAAATGGCGTAAAAATTTTATTTAAAATTATTTTTATTAAATCTATTATTTATTAAATTTTATAAAGCACACTACTACTTTTATTTCTCTCTCTGTATGATAGCTGTAAAATAGTTGATTGAATATAATGGATAAATTTAAATTTTAATATATTTTTCATGAAAATTGATATATTTTTATGAGAAACTTTTAATAAAATTGATTCATTTTTATTAAAAATATTTTACAAAAATACAAAAAAAATTCCTTTCGTTTTTCCTCGTAAAATAAAAAAAGATTTATCAGATGGTATAAAATGTGTGCCAGAAGAAAGAATCGAAAAAATCTCTCATAAAAATTAATACAATATATCGCAAAAACAGCCAAATAAAAAAAATTAAAAAATGTAAGAAAAATATTGGATTGAAAAATCATCAATTAGTTCAAATTCAACAAAAATTGAGAGAAATATAACTTGTTATAAAGACTTTATATGAATATTTTTTATAATTGCTCGATTTAAATATATAAAATTAAATCTTTAGGTTTCAAGAGACGACAAGAATGACTGGAAAAAAATTAAAATTTTTATTCAGAAAAAAATGGACTCGTGCAAAGGTTAATATCGGTGAGGCGATTTCGATAAGCTGAATAAGCTTAAGCCGAATAAGACCGCTGGGGTCCGAGAGATGTACCCTTCACCTTTCGCGCACGGCAACTAGAAATTTCATCCACTTACTTTCAGTACGGCGATGCAACGGCCGACGATAACATCGTCACTGACATTTTCCATTACGCAAGCCGCTTCACCGGCGACGAGGGCCAGCAGGACAGGCGCCTTGTATAAGTTCCAGAACAAGAAGAGCTCGCCGCGCGACGCGGTGGTACTTCCCACGTGGCCGAACAAATTGGCCGTTGGATCCCAGAAAATGCGCTCGAAGCATAATACCACCTGAGAAATTGAACAGAAAATTATAAGGTAAAATTATATGTACCAGGATATATACGCGGAAAAATTTCGAGATATACAAAAATTGGCAGAAGCAAATTTAATCTTAATTTATATATTTAGTAAATAATCAAACTTTTTCTTTCAAATTTTATATATACATTTTTCAAAACAATTTTAGAATTCCATACAAAGAATTTATTATACTTTTAGTTAATAATAAAATAGAGAATAATTATACATAGAATGCCTCTAAAAAATCTCTCTCTAAAAAATTAACTATTTGTTTCATAAATTACAAAAATTATTTAGAAACGTTTTATTAAAACAATCTTTATCATAATATATTTATAATATATTAATAATATATTTATAAAATATTTAAGAGATAAAAAAATTGTCTAAATAAATAGGCAAACTTTAAATAGCTGTAACTTTCTTTCAAAAAATGATAATTTAAATTTTAAAAAAGGAATTTAAAGCTTGAAACTTCTATTTTCGAAAGGTCATAACTTTTTTTATTTTCTTCAATTTTTATATTTTTCACATACAAAAAATAGCGAACATAACGAAGTGAAAATTTTCTTCTCAATTTGTAGGCATGTCGCATACACAAGAAGATTTTAAAAATTTTTTTGACATTTTCACGTAAAAGCCTGAATTTTCCCTGCAAAATCATTTTTTAAAATTTAAATTTTGATCTCTTCTTATCAAGTTGTCGCATTGAAGAGAAAATGTCATTTTCACTTTAATCGTTCATAACTCTCTTAAAAATCATCATACAGCAATTTTAAGAATGGATTCTTAAAGCTGAATTTTTGCTCTATAGTGTGATGCAGAAACTGAAATTTTTGTAACTCGTGAACTTTTTATAAATAAGTGAAAATAACAAAGAAATTCGCGAGTTTTTTCCTTTTTGTTTAAATTTTTAAAAAAGTTACGTAAAGTGACCAAAAATATTTTATCGGCTAAAATTTTAGTGCCTTCTAGTACCTCAAACTTGGCAAAAAATCATAGACTTGCCGTGATTGAGTACACATTAATTATTACAATATAATCAGATCGCTTTAGGGATGAAACAGGGGTCTCGTCGAAAATACACTGAAAAAAATGTGTTAACTTGACTAAATCTTTCAACTAAATTACTATTTTGTTAATTAAACATATATTAGTATTTAAGTAAAAATATACGTTTTATTAAATTTAATATGTTATATTTAATTTAAGTGTTCTTTATGTTCAATTAACAAAATATTCGTTGAAAGGTTTAGTCAAATTAAAAATTTTTTTTCAGCGTACATACAAGACACGAATACATAAGATCAATCTTACCTTATTTAAATTGCCAAAGCCGAGTCGTTGAATTGCCTGCGACTTCCATTCCGGAAGCGGCGGAGTGAAGCTGACCCCGGAAGGAGGCGCGGACGTCTTGAGGACGCCAAGAGGTAACGTAACCAGTACGGCATCCGCCTTATAAACGGTATGATTTGTGTGAGGGCTGCGAGAGGGTGCGGCCCAGACCTCAACCCCGTTCGGTCCGTATCGCACCGCTTTGGCGGCCGTGTTCAATCGGATATCGAGCCCTTCCGAGAGAGCAACAGGTACGCAAGAATAACCGTTGCGAACTGCAAAAAAAGGAGGAAGAACGAGAGATGTAGCGGATCAGTATCCGGATTTAGTATGCTTGGATAATTTTAAGATTAGATAAAGATGAGATAAAAATATGTAAATTTATTTTATTATTATTTATCTCTTATCTCTACCTCATTTATTATCTTAGATAAGATGAAGATGATCTCATTTTAAATATATCTAGATAAAAGATAAAATTGTGTGGCGATTCATCTAGATAATATTTTAACAACGCTTATATGTAAACACAGTTATAAAAAAATGTAAATTATAAAAGAGATATAAAAATATATTTAGTTCTACTACTCAAGTATTTTTATGTGCTACAATCCTAACTAGTTCTAGATAATTTAGTAAAGATAATACTTTTTTTATCTCAAATGCAGGTATAGATAATATATATTTGTATTATTTAAAGATAAGATGACGTTAAAACTTCATCTAGATAATCATCAATGTATCTATTTATCCAATTTTATTTAAATAACAACAAACACTGATCGCGACATATACCTTCTCTCTTAAGAGGATGCTGAACACGTCTGTTTTACCGACTTTGAGTTCAAGGGCTTCTCTTTTTATTGGCTATACAGATTGAAAAATCCTTCTCCACAATTAAAGTACTGATAATAATGAATGGAGAGCGCTGTAATTTCGTATAAAAACCAATAAAAGTTAAAAAATTACAGTTTTTTATCGGCCTTTTGCATCAGCTCATAACAATATTTCGTTAATACAAAACTTCTGCAGTTCATTTGTGCACCAAATATACACACCCAATAGAGATGACATGAAAGAATAATATATAGAAATAATAAAAATGAGATTAAAAGCCTGTATCGAAAGATTCGTATTTGAATTCATTATCGAGTTATGTATGTATATTTGCGTGCGGAATCGATGTCGAGGCACAAAACAGCAAAAATTAGTTGCCGGACACCACTCCCCCATTCATTATGATCAGTACTTTTATTGTAGAGGATTTTTCAATCTGTATATTCAATAAAAAGTGAACCTAACCTAACTTAAAGTCGGTAAAACAGAACTACGGCAGCATCCCCTTAAACCTACAATTTATATATATTTGCGTGCGGAATCGATGTCGAGGCACAAAACAGCAAAAATTAGTTGCCGGACACCGCTCCCCATTCATTATGATCAGTACTTTTATTGTGGAGGATTTTTCAATCTGTATATTCAATAAAAAGTGAACCTAACCTAACTTAAAGTCGGTAAAACAGAACTACGGCAGCATCCCCTTAAACCTACAATTTATTTTACACCGAAGGGGAAGAAACCTACACCCTCGAGGGTGAGAGAATAATGACATTCGGAGGGATAGTCACGTACATATCGCGCGTTTAACGAACTGGGTCGCGTAAAGAGAAAGAGAGAGAGCGAGTCTCGTTATATATAAGTCTCTTTGATTTCGTAGATGTAGGGGTACAATAAGCTGAATCGCACCACCCTAGCTTTTACGTTCAGAAGAGCGGAATCAGAAAACCCCCTCCTTGAAAGATACACGTTATCTAGGTATCCACACGGTTTTGGGCGATGTTATATGAGTTGCAATAGGGAGCCCCATTATGACTTAATTGGATATTTCGCGTTACGCTCGCGCTTAAATCAGGACACACCTAAATTCTCGTAAGCACCTCTATATCCTTTCTCCCTCCCTCATCCGATTTCCCCGTAACATCGAGGCGTGTACTAATAATGATACACAGGCGTCTCCACTTAGGTGGTTAATTATGTTGATGGCTACCACGGTGCTAACAAGCACTCTCCCTCTCTCCCTATCAGCATCCCGCGTCCTGTTTCCGAGATTTAAATTTACGCGTGCGCTATGTCAGGCTGAAAGCACAATAATTTAAATTAGCGAGGGGATATGTATGCGTACATGCATTATCGCGGATATTTCGACCGGGGTCCCTTCGAGGGCTCTATGTACATATTGATTACGCGAAACGTGTCGAACCTGTCCGCGAGATACAATCGGCGAAATGTTGCCGCAACCTTGGCCGGCAGCTAATGCGATCTATCCGCGTTTCTATCGTTCGGGTTTGGGCTGCTGCTGCATCAGCCTCAGGGGTTGGGGCCTGTCGATGTTAACCGGCCGGGGATCGATAAATCATGACGCGTACGTACATCTCGGGGCACGGCACACAAACACACACACACACATGTATATATCGATGCGGCGTCGGTCGGTGATTTAAAAATTTATGCGCCGACACCGGGTATTGTAAACGTAACCGGAAATGTTCCCAAAATGCCGCGCGCATCTGCACGCGACAGCCACTGACAAACCGATGAATTAGTCGCTACATCGTTCCCGCATCAATCCTTCGTATCGTTCGTCGTACGCGGATTAACGCGCGTGTGTGTGATGTTGATAGCGATTGAAAGGAAAATATTTCGCGTAAATTCCATTCCATCCTGGAAATCATACATATACATACATAATTTTACATATATATATATGTATTTAAATAAGTACGAAAAATTTTAAGAGATGATTCTTTGTCGAAAATTAAGGAGGGTTTCTTATATAAACCCTTTATATTTCAGACAAATTTTAAAAATTAAACAAAAAATATCCAGCAACTTTAATTTTTTGATTTGTCTGAAATTTGAGAAAAAAAATTAGAACTTAATTTTTAATTTGTCTGAAATTAAAAAAAAATAATAAAAACTATATTTTTATCTCCCTTTTGTAAAAAGGGAAACTCAAATTTATTTTACTTATAAATTTTTTATTTTATTTATAAACACGTATATAAGTGAAAAAATTAAATTGTATTTTAATCTTGAACAGGACACGGAATAAACACATAAATGTGATTCACTCTTTTTACAATAAATTCTCAAAAATTCCTCCATTAACTTCAACACAAAGGTGACAAACTGAAAAATCATAAACTCATATCTTATATCTTGTAGTATTAAAATTACAGTTGTAGAGAAAATTAGTATTAATAAAAAATATTTATTTTGAAATCTTTTTTTCATAGTTCGTCGATCTAATTTTTTAACATCCTGTATAAATAAATAATCATATATATATAAACTTGAACAGTTTTTTTTATTAATGTATCTAATTACTATGTATTTGTAGATTTCGAAAAAATAGTCATTAAAATCAGATTTTAGTTTGAATAATCCTGCATATCGCATAGACACTATTTTTTCTGCAAAAATGTGAGCTTTAATAAAATATACATACAACAACTGCTTTTTCCATTTTTTTGAATATAAATGATTTGAATTGTAAAAAAGTAATGCAATATGCATAAATAAATATATATAGTTTACTTCACATTTTATATATGTATTTTATTCTTTTTTAATATTTTACATGTAAATTAATTTAAAGAAAAAGCTATTATAAAATTAAAAAAAAAACAAGAAACTATTTCTCTGTAGAAATATTATGATATGCATAAACAAGGTGAAAGATGGTAATGTAAATTACAAAGATATAATAGAAACTAGATTTTTTTCAACAGAAAAAAAGCCGCGCGATGTCAAAATTAGAATAAAAGGGGAAACAAATATTATGCTATACTTGTTCTTTTAAGGAACGCAATTTGGATTCGGTTAATCAGTATTCGACTATCTCGCTCGTATCTTCCTACGTCTTGACGTTGATTACAAAAACCGTTTATAATAAACGAGGGAATATTCAACAGTCGGTCGTGAAGCGATCCGAATCCATGAAAATTATGGTAAGTCGGTTCTCTCTCTTTCTTGACTTAACTTAGAAAAATGGGAAATTAATTCCACGCGCGAGGAAAGACGTATCCACGCAGATTCGAAATCGTTAATAAGGGGAGGATATAAACTGATCCATTAATCTCGCTTCTTCCGATCGCACGTCGAGTATGCGAAGAAATTCATTTTACGACGACGTGGGATCTCCTCAATGTTGTGTTCAGATGATTTTTAAATTAGCTAGATAAAGATGAGATAAAAATGTATAAATTCATCTTAGATAAGAAGATAATTTTGAATTTATGGTACATATATCTAGATAAAAATAAAAGTATACAGCGACTCATCTAGATAATTTCCAGATAATTATATTTTTAAAATTGCTTATGTAAACATAGTTATAAAAAAATTTAAATTATAAAAAAATATAAAAATATATTCATATCTTTATTTATAAGTTTTTATCGCTTACTGCTTAAGTTCTATTACTTGACGTTAAAATTTCATCTAAATAATTATCTATAAAATTTTATTTAGATAACAGCAAACACTGTTTATTGACAAATATTATTCAACTATTTATTGTAGAAATATATTCATACTTTAATAAGTTATAAGTTTTTATCGCTTGATACTTAAGTATTTTTGTGCTATGATTCCAAAACCAAATCTGTGAATATTATATTCTAGATAATTAATTTTACTAAAGATAACACTTTTTTCATCTAAGCTGCAGATATAGATAATATTTTTGTATTACACGTGCAGGCAAAGTGGCACTTTGTGTGCGTGTTTTCTGTGCGGAAAGCGGTCGATTTCCCACGCCGCCATTTAGCAGCGACGCGGTGAATGAATAAGCCGCGTTCAAAGTCATTGCCCACGGCTTCAGCCGTGAAGATGGCGTGCCACCTCGCGCACAGAAAACGCGCACGAAGCCACTTTGCCTGCACTTGTAATACAAAATAGTATGTGTACATAATATACTATTGTATTACACGTGCAGGCAAAGTGGCACTTTGTGTGAGTGTTTTCTGTGCGGAAAGCGGCCGATTTCCCACGCCGCCATCTAGCGGCGACGCGGTGAGTGAATAAGCCGCATTCAAAGCCATAGCCTACGGCTGAGCAACTTTCCGCACTTGATACACAATATACTATTATTATCTATATAAAAATAAGATGACGCCCAAATTCTATCTAGATGATATATATAATTTTCTTAAGATAACAGCAAACACTGGATCTCCTGCGGATGAAGAAAGAAAAAGAGAAGGGGGGCAAG